AATTCAAATGCTTTGAGGGTGAACGATTCCCCGAAAAAAAGTGCCACGTGATTTCGAAAAATGGAGGGAAGGCTGGTGGGGTGGCTGACACCCAATTTGTGTGCACACATCGCGTTCCAAGTCGATGCAAGCNGGGAAGCATGCTGTCACCTCGGGTCCCACTACACAAGGCCAGGAACTCAGGACGCTCCATGCAGAGGGTATCCGCCACAGAAATCACTTTATGGACCGCCGATGCAGACAAAATAGCTTTCGAGGGACGACGAACGTACGAAAAATCACCCAAAACATCGCGATGGCCTCCGAGGCGCGTATCCTTTGCAAGTTCCCAGTCCCGCGGGCGCTTCGCAATAGCATCATCAGCCAGCATCTCTACAGGAGAGGAAGCAGAGAAGAGGCTAAGTCTAGATTCTCGTGGGTGGTGAGACCAAATAACAAGCAACCCGGTGGTTGTGAAAAAAGCGTGGCAACAACACACAGCAGTGTGGAAGTCGCGTCCAGCACCCGCTTACCGTGTAATGCCAGCTGACGCCAAGTTTTAAGGAGTGATGCCGTGGGCGGTAGCTTGCTCCTAGAGATAGATGAAGGTTCTGTCGTTGACACGCTTGTCCACGACCACGTTGAGGTGGGAAAGTTGCTTGTTATTGCTGAGAGACGATCAGCAAAGGTCTGGGATGAAGTGGGGATCCAACTTCATCTCAGGGGGTACACAGAGTAGACAATTCTAAGGGGGTAGGGGTCAGAAGGGTATACCTCCTGACCGACCCGCATCCTATCAAGAATAAGATGTACCCTATTCGTGCTAGCAGCTACTCTCCTTAACACCTGGCAATTGCTGCCTGGATTGGGGCATAGTCTAATACCCCTCGCGCGCGTGTCCACAGCTATAATTTCGGAGGACGGCGCTCACGGCAAAGAAAAGGCCAACGCTTCGGATTTGGTTCGGAAACTCCGCCTACGTTTAACATTTCGGGGGATGCGTTTGAAAAAAGCAACGCCGGGAAGCAAAGAAATATGATACCACACCTAGAGAAAGGCATTAAACTATATAGTCTGCGACACGACGATTGATCAATCGGAGTTCCTTGCATCGTTCGGGAATGTAGAGATGAGTAGTGCGGAAACCGGTAACTAATGGCGTTGTTCATTGCAAACGCACCGGTTGCTCATTGCCTCCTTCAGGCGTCCAATGTACGGAGGAGACACGTTTCGCAACGCCGCCTGTATTTTTTTCATGACGTGTTCGTCGAGATGGCCACAGACGTAGTTGGGGTCGTGCAGTAGCCATTGCACGCTGGAATGTGCACCTTCCCCGACGGATTGGTAAGTTCTGCAAGACCATGGCGGTAGTCAAAGCGCGAACAACATGCGGTTAGTATATCGTTGTTGAAGTACACACAATTCGCAGAGAAAAAATAGAATAGAAACAAGAGCTACATCTTTGCCTTGGTGAACAGAAAGAATATCCAAAGACGGCAACGAAAGGCGGGTGGAAACGTAGAAACGAACATAATTTAGGCTATACGGCAAAGAGATGATATCGCCTTCCTATACGACATTTCTCACGTTCCTTGCACGGACAAGAGATGATCGCCAAATATGTTCTTCAGTTCCCCACCTTCGACATTCATCGAGGCGAAGTTGCAGCGGCACTTGTAGGCCCGGGACTCTTTACGAAACGTGTGTGCTGATGGCTCCGAAGAAGTGCATACCGTCAGGTTGCGAGTCAGCGCACAGGGGTGCGAACGATTTTCAAAGCGTAGTTTCTCCACAACCAGGAGGCTGCCACTGTCGAAAAGGGCAGTTTCGGAAGTATCTCATCGAGGGCTTTCCTGAGAATTATCAGCTGGCGCTCGCACCTACCCGGTTGTGGAGAAATTACGCTTTGAAAATCGATCGCACCCCTGTGCGCTGACTCGCAACCTTACGGTAGTTCATGCAGGTCGGCTGGCAGAGGCGGTAGTCTCAGGAGGACATATTTGCCATTCTTGCAACATATCCCCCTCGACTCTTTGTCGAACAGTTAGCACCACAGTACGCACAAGGGTCGGCTTTTCTTACTTGTATACCCAGTTGTTCCCGCGCGGTTTGTAGGGCCTCGCGCCGCTGGGTGAGAACGTTTCGTACACGCGACATGTCGTCCTCGTGACGAAGAATGTCGTCGCAACGATGCCTGTTTGCTGACACGATGGCTGCTCTACGTTTCCTATCGTAGGATCACTATTGAATAACGGCAGCAGCTTCGCGTCTCTTGCTCCTGCTGTCCGCCTTGTTCTTCGCATAGTTCACGCGGTCCCGTTGTCGCCTGCGAGCTCGTTGTGCTGTGATGACTCGCCGTTATACAGGGTTGTTGATCTCCATGCTGGCACGTCTTTCGTTCTGGTGATGTGTGCGGTGCTGTAGATGTCTTGTTTGGTAGAGGATAAAGTAGTGGTGAGTGTAGGGTTGTGGGGTGTGCACTACTGCTGTGTGGTTATTAAAGGCCGGCGAGCATTAGTCTAGCTAGATGATACGCGGTCTAGAAACGCGGCGTGTTTGTGCAGGCCCTTTTGCGGAGCGTTACACCGCGGGGCTGTGGGCTGTGGGGAGCTGAATGTGCAAGATTTTTCGCGGAAAAGTCCTCGGGTTTCCTACACAGGTGTCGCACAATGATCCTCGGTGGAGAAGATGCACTGCTTTGTCGTCGGGTGTTCGATTACTGCTGTGTAAAGATAGCCATGTATCGGTACATCGACGGGCGCTGCACAAAGGAACCTGCAACAACTGTGGTGTGCGTGTAGTGCATACGACGCACATCCATAGTCTAGACTATCTATATCCATCCGCTGCTGCTGGCGCTCTTTCACTGGCATCCGTTTCCCTCTCTCCCTTTGCCATGGATGTGTAACATACACATCTTGGGCAAGCCAGGTTACGATCGACGCCTCTCTCTGTTTCGGGGGGATGCATGCGTCCCGACAACAAGTTCGGCAGACACGCCCTGCGTTTCGGCACACTGAGCATGGATTGAGGGAGAAGCATTTGTTGCAGCACGGGGGAATCACTGCCTGTCGGGCACAAGTATTGGCCTGTAGTTTGGTGCCTAGTCGGTGAAATGGACTCCAGTCGCTTCCTGCTTTTTTTTACCCATACCAAAGGATACCCTCCAGCGTTGTTCGCGCCCCCCAACACCGAATTTATTTTTTCGTGCACACGCCTATGCGACCACTTCCGAGGTTGCAGGCAGTCGTTTCTTTTTACCAAAATATCTATCTCACGTCTGTTTTTCGGATGGACGAACCTGAAAGGAAAACTGTCACTAACGGTTGTCTGAGGAATCACAAAATCGGTACAAGCTAACGACGCGCTTGCACCACCATTTGTGCCTGCTGTGAAATCACCTATTTCAACAGAAGGCCCGGTGGCGGTAGAAGCGGTAGACAGGTTTCGGGTGGGAATTAGGCGGCAAAGCAACCGAGAGGGTAGGGAGGACGGTGGCCTTGGTGATAAATCACAACCTGTGCTATACGCTAGCAGCAGGTTCTGTCGTGTCACCTACATAATCTCTTTTCGAAACCTCCACTACATTCGGAATCATCGTGCCCTGCTGGTTGCAATCCGTTTCATGTTGCACGCAGGCTCGATGTCGTCTGCTGGTTTGGAAACCGAGAGCGGGGATTTTTCTGGGGCAGTCAAGGTGAGCCTCGCGTCCAGCTGCAAACGAGGAGCCGATCCCAGTTGAAGGCAGCGCGCATCAGGGAAAGCAGTTGTAATCCTTGAGGCTTTTCGAGGCTTGATTTGCACCATGAGGTGGAAGTTCTCTTTCCGCTCACTGCCAGGTTGCAGAATTTTGGCTGGCAATTGGTTGTTTTCATTGCGTGCTAATACCCAAAAAGGTGATCGTGTTGTGGCGTTATCAGGTGACTCATGGGATAGATGACATCCAGGTGAAAGAAGAGGAGGAGGAGGAGGAGGAGGAGGAAGAGGAACGAGAGGATGGACAAGAAGAGAGGGTGAGGGTTGTGTCAACGTCAGAGGTTCTATTTTGATTAGACGAATTCGATGTCGCCCCAAACTCTGGCGGTGGAGAGCGCGTGAATTTTGCTCAACTGTCGAACCTCAGTAAACATTGCAACATCGACAGATCAACCCACATTGCAAGTGGCTGCTCTTCTCGATACAATCATGGCCAGAGATGTGCAGGGTGAATCCATCGCGTTTAAGCCGATCCATGCCGTGGCAAAGTCCCCCTCGCTCGCTTGGTTACATTGGGGGGTGGGGTCTCTCGGGATAATCTGAGTATCCAACCCTCATGCCTTCTTGGCATGAAGTATTCCCATCTTTGTCGTAGTCAGATGCTGCGGGTGACTGGATTTTTTCACGGTGTTCATGTCGGTTGAATCAATCCTCTGTGTTGCCCCAGGCTCGTCTATTTGAGATTGCGCTTTGCGACATCAACGAGACCCAGTCCTTGCAATGTGTGGATGACTCGCTCCAGGCAAGGGAGGGCAAGCGCAAGCTCGGGAGTATGGCCAAGGCCCTCTGCCGGTACAGCGTCTGGACAGCCAGCAGCGGGCAACCCAACCACACTGAACGGTGAACATCAGTAGTGCGAGAGATTTGGAATTCGAGTATAGCCACCGCACGGGATACGGGAATCAACCGCGAGAAATTGTGATCTAAACGGTTTAGGTTTCTCTTTGGGCTTTGTGTACAACCGGTTACAATTTTTTCCCGGTATCTTCTACCCAAGATCTGCTGCCCCGCCGATTGGCACGGTCTTCCCGCAGTGTCATTTTCGCCACCATGTTACACGGCACGCAGAGTCACGTACAAGAGGTTTTTTATAGGGGGCCACACCCGGCTAGCGACGAGTCTATAGCACCTGCGGTCAGATGAATTACATGGGAGCCGTGAGCATCTCTCAGGCGGCAACAAGCTGCAGACGTGTCGAAACCCGAGACGAAACACGCCCATGGCATCTCGAAACACTGCAGGTTCGTGTTGCCGCCAAGCCAGGGATGACAAACGTGAAAGACTGGAGGTGCCGCCATCCACAGTGCATGAAGCGTCCGTCGTACAGAAAAGACAGTAGCAAGGAGGCGGAGTTCTGTGCCCAGCATGCGGGACATGGCATGGGCAATGTTAGTAATAAGAGATGCGGCCATCCAGGTTGCACGAAGCAGCAATCGTATGGAAAAGAAGGCAGCAAGAAGGCGGAGTTCTGTGCCCAGCACGCGCGACATGGCATGGTCCTTGTTCGTGCTCAGAAGTGTGGCCACCCAGGTTGCACTAAGCAGCCATCGTATGGAAAAGACGGCAGCAAGAAGGCGGAGTTCTGTGCCCAGCACGCGCTACAGGGCATGGTCCTTGTTCGTGGTCAGAAGTGCGGCCACCCAGGTTGCACAAAGCAGCCATCGTATGGAAAAGACGGCAGCAAGAAGGCGGAGTTCTGTGCCCAGCACGCACAACTGAGCATGGTTGATGTCACGAAGAAGAAGTGCGGCCATCCAGGTTGCACGAAGCGGCCGTCAAATGGCAAAGAAGGTGGAGTTTTTTGCCCAGCATGCGCTAAACGGCATGGTCAATATAACAACAATGAGGTGCAGTCATGCAGGTTACACGAAGCAGCCGTCGTATGGCAAAGACGGCGACAAGAATGCGGAGTTCTGCTGTCATCATGCGCTACCGGGCATGGTTGACGTGGTTAACAGGAGGTGCCGCCATGCAGGGTGCATGAAGAGGCCGTCGTATCGTAGAGCCGGCAGCAAGAAGGCGGAGTTCTGTGCCCAGCACGCGCGAGGGAGGAATGATTAATGTGCGACATGCGTAACGCCAGAAGAAGCACCGAGGCGTATTGCTGTACGTTGTTTTGTACCGTTCCGAAAAGTCGTTGTTAGGTCCAATATGGTTGACCCCGTTACGTATGCGCTAGATGCATGGCTCGCTTGACGAAAGGAATTTTGACGAACGTTGCCGGTCATTCTCTACTCGAATAATCTTTCAGTGCATCGCGCGTCAGTGCATATAGCATAACGACGTATTTCGCCTTTGGTTTCGTCGCCCTGTTCATGCTGTGCATGGAGGTAGGAGTTGCGCAATGTGTACTTCGTGCTCTTGGGGATATTTCTTGGGCAGGAATACGGGGACAGGGATACTCTGGGGTCTCGTGCCCAGTGCGAATGTATTGTACGGATTGGGCGATGCGATCGAAGTCAAAAGCGACGGAACATGAGGACGAGAATATATTCCGCAGGAGCATCGTACCGGCAGGACGCCCACGATGGTCGTGCCTGCAGAATATAGCAGATGATCGATTGCCAGTAGCATTGCGAGTTGATAAGATGTCCTCCTGCTCTCGTCCATCGTCTCAGTAGCAAGATAGCCCTCCGCAGCGACGCAGCCGGCCTCGTGGCTCCCGCCTCTATCCTTTTCGCCAGGAGCATGGTCGCCCGCGGGTATCTGTCCTCCCATTCCCGGTGCGCAGGATCCTGTTGTACGGAGACTCGCTTGCTGGTGAGCAAACAGCCGGCTGCCGGTCACCTGTACAGCTGACCACGAGCTGGCTGGCTAACGACGACCGGGAGCTGGCTGTCTTTTCACCAGTAAGCAGGCTCCCGCCTCGACCGATCCTGCTCGTCAATGGAGTGGGAGCACAGGTGCTCGCCCGGGACGAGCATGCTCCTGGCGCAGCAGCTGTGAAGGGCGAGCTCGTCGGGTCGATCAACGTGAACCCAGATATGCAGCAATATGTCTTTTTCCTCGCTTTTGTGTCAGTTGTGGTTTTTCTCTCATTCCGATTGCATCTACGTACAAAACAGGTGTTGGTCACGCAGTAAGGATGCCTTCCCGCCGTTCCATATATTTTTCCGTATGCGACTTCCATGTCTTAGCACGCAGGGGATTGCTCGCGTATTCCTTGCGACTTGTTCCTGCGGAAGTCAAACAACGGATGGAGGTCCGTATCCCAACAAGAGCTAGAGACGACGCTCACATGTGTGGAGTGTGCAGGTCACCCTTATGAGACGAAGAACGTGGACAGCCCTTGCACTACCCGACTTCTATGTCACTTTGGACGGTCCGTCAGTGTACTAGATCATCATGTGGAACTTACGCCGACATTCAACGATGTGCTCGAAACGTGGTCCACGAAGGCACTGGGAAGGCTCCTAGGGGGGACGGGCAACGGCATGCAAGAAATGAACGGACGAAGGTCGTATTCAGAGTGAATCAATCAGGATTGTCGATGACCTCTGAAAACGACCTCCGTCCTCTCTTTTGCCTATTGATTCAATAGGCATACGACATTCGTCTGTTCGGTTTCTCGCATGACGGTTCCCCTTGTCATTTCACTCCCTAGGAGCCTTTCCGGAGCAGTCTTGACCCAAGTTTCGAGCGCTTCGCTCGATGCGAGGACATTTTCTTACGCTGATCTACTAGACTATTTCCTTGAAGGGTTGTGGGTGTGTCGCTGAATATCTCATCGGGGTATACTCCGGCGCACACGCAGGAACGAACAGTGTAGTGTGATGCCTTCTGTGGAGGCCGCCGCCTTCCATGTCGCCCTGATACATGAGTATCTGGCAAGTTCACGTGACGTCACCGTTTGTTGTGGATCGCACGGATGGCTTCCTCCTGTCCCTGGCGAATGTGTACATCGTCCTTCTCTGTGCTGCTGATCCAGAACACGGCCTGCACCGGAACCGACCGCGCAGCCGTCACCGACAAGCCGGCGAGGGCGCCGACTGCTGAGTCCGTCGTTGACCCTACTGCCGAGCCCCACTCTCATGGCGAGAGAGTTCCGTTGTTCATTCCGTTTTGGTGTGGGAAGCTACCGCAACCGTTCAGGCGGGAACAAAACCAGCTGCAGACCGCTGAAATCTCCGTGTACGTGTCGAGCAAGGAGGAAGAACGCAAGAATATTCTTGGAGGTACCTCATGCCATGCGTCGGCTAACGGTCCAGCCATGACGTTCGCGCCTACCCATGAGCCGTCGCTCCATGAATTTCCTTCCCACCCTGACAGACGTGTGCTCCAACAGCATCCCGAGCATGCCGTCCGGCATCACATGCTGTGTCGTGGAGTGTTCCGAACCGAATCCTCAGCCCCGGCTGTACCGACTTCGGCGGCGGCCTCTGCACGGGCAAATGTACTGCCCCGGCCGACTTGAGGAGTACGGCCAAGGCCAACTCGCGGGGTACGGCGAACTCTTTTGGTGGCCCTCGCGGTGACCTGTGTCGTCGACGCTGAGGGTTGCATATCACTCCGTGGCTGGCGTGCTTTCCGTCTCTGACCAAGATATAGCCTTTCGTGAAAGCACGTTTTTTCTCGGCAGTAGTCTCTGAGCCACCTCCGCTACTAGACTGACGCCCTTCCCGAAAACCGAGTTTCATCCGTGTCTATAGACTACAATCATTGACACATGTCGTTGTGGATCAGGGCGTGATCCCTCCTCCTCTTTCCTGACAACGTCTCCGTTCAGCGGGTAAGCAGAAATAACCCCCGCTTTGAATGTTTTGTTACATGACGCAGTTCCCTTCAGTATCGTCATTATGGCAGCACGTCACACTGCAGTCGTGTTGAACGGCGTGAATACGCACGAACGACATGCCCACGGCCACACTGAACAGCGGCTCACGTATTTTCCTGCACAAGTCACCAATGTTGCCTTACGATCCAACCTTGCCGTGCACGTCCGTATTGGCCCGCTACCTGTTTGTTGATCATGCGGACGTCGCCCCTGCGCCTTCGCCGATAGCCGAGTCCATTGGTGAGTTAATGTCCTTATGTATGTAGTGCTCCCATTGTGGTGCAACTGGTGCCCTGGCCGAAGCTTGGCTGGCCTTTGTGTCTGGGGCTGATTAACGGTAGGTAGCAACCGTAGATTTCCGTGTTCTACCATCGCCGTCCCGGTCCCCAGATCTCGACTGAATTTGATGTCAAATGCCTCAGAACATGTCGCTGCCACCAGTATGAATATTGTTCGCGGTATATACAATACTTGTGATGGCTGTTGAGGCGTGTCCCCCGGTTTTTTGCAAGGAGGAGGAACGGACTGGCATAGCGAGCGTCGCTTTTACCGGCACCCTCTAGATACTACCAGTGCGGACACAATTTTTTCTCATCCCATCATCCCGTTTAGTCACCGTGATTCGCGGTTTAAAGTACGTATTTGAAACAGCCTTCTTTTTTATACTCGAGTCACCACAAGCACAGGGAGTACCAACTACCTCGAAGTAGTTGCGAGCACTCTTGCCCCGGTTCTTCCCTCTCGCCCGATGTCTTTCGGCATAACCACACGGGTGCGGCCAACGATGATGAACGGAAAGACTCCTCCTCCTCCTCCCACGACGACGACGACGACGACGACGACGAAGGCGAACTCGGAGGCAGGCCCGACGCTTACGAACACATGGGGTGCTTCCAAGATAGCCAGTTGGAGCGCGTCTAGCAGGGGTGTGCACCAATCTTCGGCGACATGACCGCAGTGGCAAGTATATTTTTGTTTTTCGTCTTTCATCTGTATTCTGGCGGACGTGTGTGTACGCATCGATCGCGTGAGGAAGTGTTCGAACCTCAGATTAAGATCTACCCGGCGAACACCGTTTGTGACGGATCCGAAAACGCTTGAAACGCACGCTTCGAGCAGTGCCGTCTTGGGTACCATGGCCACACAACGTCGACGAGGATCGCTGAACCCCTTTACCCTCAGCCATTCCCTGCCTTCCCTTATTCCTCTCATTCTCCTTTTGGCAACAACTCCCCGACGAGTTTCGCCGGCGTTGCCGGTCTGAAGCTTTGGTTGCCTTTTTTTCGGGAAGCCGCAACTGCTCACTACGGTAACACGCTCGAGCACGAGTCACAGCAAAGTGGCTGAAGAATAAAGACGTCCAGACCACGACGAAGACCTTGAAATTATGACGTCGACGATGACAAGGCACCAATGTACACACAAGCACCCCTGTCGTGTGCGTTGTGTTGGATTGGGGACTTTTCCGTTTATTGCGAGTCTTTTGCTCTGCATGGCATTTCGCAGCGGTATCGCCTGTCGTTCTATCGCACACCTGGCTGGCGCACGCCGCCTTCACACATCCACGAACATCCTTTGACCAACCTACGTACGTGCAAGGGAGGTATGCACCCCCTTCGGTGCATCGTACGTTTGCGGTGAGTTCGTATGGACACAAGAGATCTACACATGCCATGTAATCGTTTACCTGCTTCTTATAATTTACACCACCTCATACCTTGGGCACCAGGGAGCCGTGACTGTGATTTTTGTGCGCTTGCACGTAAACTTGCTAGAAATGTGGCGAGTCGTATCATGAGTACAGAGCTCAATCCGCGTCCATTTCGGCAAAGGCAATGCTGCCGGCCGCCGTAGTTGATCACGTACGATTTCTCAAAAGGTGATGGGAAGCCGGAGGATGTTGGACTGGTGTGGAAATCGTACATACTGCTCAATTTTCCTGCCCTGGTAGGAGGGATGACGCTACAAGCAAGTGCAAGGTTGGCGACGTCCCACCAGTATACCCGTTGGAGAGCGTTTTCTTGTGGCAGAGCAAAAGCTACATGTGAGCCCTGGTGCGAGTTGTTCCTTCGACTATGGATCGTTTGGATTCTAGGTTGGCTGGACGGGAACGTTGTGTGAGTTCAGGATATTTAGAAAGCAGACCTGTGTACATGCGTGAGCAACAACAGAATTCTTCAGCAAGCGGCATATTGCTCTGTCTCCGAAGGAACAACAAGCGCAATTCCACAAACATCAATGCCAACGACGTCCAGCAGAACGTCTCACTCGGTGGCCAGGCCACGTG